GGACACAAAGATCAAACCATAGCGCTGATCATTACAAAAGGACTAAGACCTTTCTTTGTGCTTGAAAATTTTCAAGATAAAGATGGGAGAAAAAACAAGAAGTTCTAGCTAAGTGTCATAAAAAACTTACTTGGGGTTATATTTTGGTAGTGATCTGGAGAGAGGGAGAGAGAGAGGGAGACTTTGAGAGAGACTGCCAAACTTGTTCTCTAAGTAGCTGGATGATAGTTCTGTATGTTTTTGGTAGCTACTTACACAGTGCTTTATAGGAGCTTAATAATATTTTTCTTAAGGGCTAAACCTTAAAAGAGAGAAACTGAAAAGGGAAGAGGATGCAGTTCCTGATTTTGAAACACATTCATCAGCCTGAATTTAATTACAACTTCTTTGTTGTTCACAGTTCGTTGTCCTCATTAATACCCAATCAGAGATTTGAATCATCAGACTAAATCCGCAGGATTTAGGCAAACATAGTTTGTTATGGGGCAGCTGAGCGGCGCCGTTTCCAGGGATATGATATATGACACCCTCTGCCCTTTTATTGCTGCGGTGTCTCCTGGTTTCCCAAGCCAAAGCACCCTATACTTAAGGGTGTGCTCTGCAGATGCTGGCTGGCACGTGAAGACCAATGAAGGAGTGATTAAGCGCTGGGGACAATGTGGAAATTTCACGGGGGAAAGAAAACATTTCTGGTACAAAAAGTTTAAGTTTAGCAAGGCTTGAGCTTGGTTTCAGGAAGCTGGGGGAGCGGGAGCTGGGGTTTAGTTTCTTAAGGTATAGTCTATCAGCTTTCCCGACCAGTGGGTACTCACAGGGAGTGCTGTGGGGGGCGGGGTAACTCGTAAAATAACTTGGGGACCTGACTGCTTCTCCTTTGGAGAAGAGGGCTCGGAGGCGTCTTGAGGGTTGGGAGGAGAGGAGAGCCCAGGATTTCTTTTGGACGTCAGGGACAAATGGTCAAAACAAAGGGACACTGCCCAAGACAGATTGAAGCGCTCATTCGGATGTTCGTGAATTCCAAGCAGATTCTGATCAGATCCACCCCTCCCCCTTCTGCTGTCGGAACCGGCTCCGAGCAGGATCCCCGAAGCTGCTTCATCACTCCCTGCGATTCGCTGTCCCAGGAAGTTCTCCTGCCTCATCCCGAAGCCCTGCTCTACTCTTCCCCTGCCGGGGCGCCCCAGGCAGTCAGCAGCCGCTCGCTTGGGTCTCCCTGACAGCCCGGGCTGCAGCGTGGGGAGGGGGTAGAAGAGCTCGTTAACTCCGGAAAAACTTCCTCACCGGAGATGCCTGGGATTTGGGGGGAGTGCTGGGCCCTGCAGCGGGCATTAAAGAGGTGCTGCAACCACTGCTGCCGTCCGCCCCGCAGGCTCTGAGCTGCGGAGACGCGGGCGAGACGCGGCAGCGCCGTGGCGCGGATGCACCGGGACGCGGCGGGTGGCGCGGAGCTCCCGGCGGGGCGCG